GCTGGGACAAGCATAGGTCACCAAGGTGGGCCCAGGGGATCTAACCCAGGTCCTCCTACTCCCAAGGCAAAGACTTTACTCACTGAGCCATTTTTCCAGCCTCTACCTGGGGACTTTAAAGGAACAGAAGCCACAGCCTGTGTGCAAAGGGAGAACCCAGGGAAGCCATGGGCAGGGCCAGAGAACTCAGGAACATTGCCAACCTGAGGAAGGGCTTGCAGCCAGAAGCAGGCCTCTGTCGTACGCTTCTGGCTTCCCTTCCCCACTGTTCAGGCAGCTTCGGGCAAGCAGCACCCCAAAAGTGGGTTCTCTAGAAAACTATATCGCCCTTATTCCTCACAAAACTGAAGGGACCTTCCTCCTGGCTCTAATGGAAATCCCAGGCTAAGGGAGAGGCAATAACTTCCCTAAGCACGTGAAGTCAGGTGGGACTCCAAAGCCTCTGTTTTTTTAGTCACTCTGAGTTCCCCTGGAAAAGAAGACTGAAGCAGGAGAACTACTGGGGTAACTTCCTGTATTCCTCAACTGCCTAGAAATCTAGGAATTTGTGTTCCAGCTTTGACTGAGGAGACAAAAGCAGGCATGTTAAGATCCCTTAGACCACGGATAGGCATGGCTGTTGGAGGCCAGGAAAACCTGTTTGGACCTTTCTCTCCCCCCCCCATCCTCATGTTTGCTCTGGCTCTCACACCACCCTCCACAGCAGCCATAGGCAAGCCTCACTTTGGTGCCTGCTTCCCTAAGTGGAGTGGGGCCAGGCTATCAGCAAGGATTGCAGAAGTGACTGAATCCAGGGGACCGCAAATCAAAGTGCTCAGCATGGACCAACAACCTCCCCACTCCTCATCCACAACCATCCCCACCCCCAGGGATATGGGAAAAGAACAGGTGCACAGGTACACAGGCTAAATAACTGAGAAACGAGTGATACCAGGCCCAAATGTAGCATTCCCATTTTATAGATGAGGAAAACTGAGGCTTGCAGAGGGGTGACAGTTTGCTACTGGCAAGCCCTCCAGAGACCCCTGAACTCTAAAGCCCCTATCTTCTCTATGATTTTTCCTACTTACTCTGGTGCCCAGCCCTAGGTCTGAGGGACATAGGTCACTTCTGTCCTCATTTGCTACCGTTCCTTTATGGGGACAGTTTTTCTCTCTGGTGGATACACACAGCTATGCCTGAATATTCTTTTATTCTTCACTCTTACTCAGGACCATGGAAGGCACATGAAGGCCCCAAGGAGAAGGTGGTTGCCCCCAGAGGACAGGAAGTAGTCTTGGGGTCTCTGAAGACCTGTTTTTTGTCTCAGTCAGAGTGAAGGTTTCCCCACCCCCCATGTTTTATATCTGGACTTCTGAACCCACAGGAACTTTGCTGAACCAATCCCAGGCAGCAGACCATGACCTCTGTAGTGTGCACCTGTGTCCAGCAAATCCTCTAATAGAATTGGGCAAGCTGCCCATCGCCTAGCTGTCTAGATGGCCCTGGACTTTGCTCAATGCCTTCCCCACCAAAGAATCCGTTTGCCGGCTTGCTGTGTGGAACAAACGCCCTGTGCATGTGGCAGGGCTGGGGACCTCTGCTTGTTTATGACTGGGAAATGCAAAACCAAGCAGGGCTCAGTACCCTCCACCTAGGAATGGCTAAGCTGGAATGGGAACCCAGGCTCCCTGACACTCCAGGGCAATCAGGAGATGTGGGAAGTGGCATAGAGAAGAGAGGCCTGCTCAGGCAGGCTTCTCTTCTCTCCAAGCCTTGGTTTGCCTGGTCTATGGAATGGTGGAAGGCTGTGTTTGGACCCTGTGTCCCTCATTTCTCAGTTTTCTTTTCAGCCTGCTGGGAAAGCTCCACAGCCAGCTTTCCTCTCCCTTCCCCCAGCATAAGATCCAAGAAGAAAAAGCACTTTCAGCCAAGACCAGGAGGGGCTGCAGGCATTCCTTGTCGGGGATCTCTGCAAAATGCCTAATGAGCATGAATCTCTCTCTTCTGACCTTTCCAGAGCAAAGCAGCCAGGGATATCAAAGGCCTGGAGAGAGCTGGACTGGGGAGCTCTGCCCACAACCAGATCTGTGGCCTTCCCCTGCTCCTGCCTGTGTGCCTCAGCCTCCCTCTGTCCAGTGGGTTGATCGTTTAGTATTAAGACTGTAGAAACAGTGTTGCGGACATCAACTGCTAAAAAGGAAAAGACATTTTGCAACAAGTTATGCAAAATGTTACCCCCAGGTAAAGTCCTATGGGGCAGGACTAAGACAAACTAAGAAAAGAGCCCGGGGGTTGCTGGCCATCAACCCATCGGGTGCTCAGGAAAAGCAAGAGCTGGCAGTTAGTTGCCTCTGGTTAGAAGCCTCTAGAAGGCAGTATTTCCTCTCCCGAGGGTTTTTGTGACTGCTAAGCTGGGCAGACTCCTTCAGGCTCCCCTCCCCTCCACCCCCACTCATACAAGAGGGGACTCAAGGGCCATCTCTCGAGGAATGCCTGGCACAGGAGGCTCCCCTGAACCCTAGGAAGTTATAGTAGGACTGAATGGGTTTATATATGGGTTTAGAGCCCTGGTTTAAAGCAAATTAGTACTGGGTTCAAATCCTGGCCCAGCCACTTAACTGATCAAGTAACAATGTCATGGCAGCTCATCTTCCTGTCTAAGCTAGGGGTATTTCACCCTATCAACATCCCTGGCACAATCTGGCAGCTGGTGTAACAGCTACAGATGCGCTACAGCTGCTTGTTGAGATATGAACAGAGCTGCTTTTCAAGACACTAGCTGGGGTCCCAGAAGAACTCAGGGAAGGTCTCTGTTGATGTTTGAAAAGGTTTCAGGATCTAGAGGGTGTGAGTGTATTTGTAGAACTCTGTACAACCCTGTAAATGATTGCTTGTGGGTAGGACACCCTTTGGTCCATCCCAGTGTATGTGGGAGAGTTGGTTCCTAGACGTGGACATGGACGGACAGGCCATCAGTCACCTCTACTGAAGTGGGCAGCTTGTTAGCACACGGTTATGGGCACACTGGGTCCTCACATATCTGAGCTACAAAAACCTTAAAGGTTGGCTGTCCCCTTCTATTTCACAAACAGAAAAGTCTACATGGAGGGGCTGAGGGTCCCAGCTATTCTGATTCCCCATCCTCTTGTTGACAATCCTCCCCAAAGGCCACAGGGATACCTACCTACGATATCCGGCTCCGGTTCTGTGCCCAGGTACCGTCCTTGGGCACGGGAGTCTACCAGCTGGAACCTTTTAGACTGGAGGTTCTCCAGGACCTGCTCATAGGTTTTGAGAAGGGAGCGGTCCAGTGTAGCTTTGAAAACGGCTGGCTCTGGACGTGAGGGCTCAGATGTCACTGGGTGGCCCTCCTTCAGCCAGTTCCGGAAGCCACCATTAAGCACTGACACCGTGCGATGGCCAAACACACGGAACATCCACCATACTCTGGGTGCATAGAAACTACCCAGGTTGTCTCCGTCGTACACCACAACGTGTGTGTCGTTGCTGATTCCCAGACTGCCCACGTAGTCCCCAAAGTGGGCCTCACTGGGCAGCATCATCTCATAAGGCGAAGTCGTGTCCCGGCACTCCTCTATATCAAAGAAGGACGCGCCAGGCACGTGGCGTTCCTGGTACTCTTTGCGGGCCTGGCGGGTCCCCGGAGAGTACCATGATGCGTCCAACCCCCACCCCCCGGGGCGCGCCCCAGGGCCCCCCGCCCAAACCCCCCCCCCCAGCCACTTAGTGGAGACCAGAGCCCGGTAGAGCACTTGATGAACCATAGTGGCAGCTCTGTGTGTGTCACCTGGCGCGGGTGGAAACCAGGAAAAAGTCCTGAAAGGACTGAGCGAGGCGGGCGGAGCCCAGGAGGCGGGGCTGTGGTCCCCACTACACTTTCCCAGCGTGCAATGGTAACTACACTGACAGCTTGACTGGGGAGACTGTGGGATAGGTTTTCACATTCCCTAGGGAAAACCCGCTCCGCACCTCCCACTCCGGCGCCCGCCCAGTCTGGTACCAGGGAAAGCAGATGGGCGTGGCCAAGAGTTTCGGCGCGCTCTTATGGCAGCAGCTGCTCAGGACCCTGTCTGCAAAGATGGGGAGAACACAGGTCCTAGGTAGGGAAGATGGAACTTGGGCTTCGAGTACCCTCTGCGGGGCGAATTGACCATTTGCCAGTCATTCTGTTTCCGTTCCCTGCAACCTCGATTCTCTGGCTTCTAGACTGCCTAAGTCCGGTGAAGAGGTCCCAAGCACTCTGCCCTGCTTTCTCCACCAGAACCCTCCCCTGGTCCACAAGTGGCCCAACCGGCGGCCCCATGCATTCACTCGCCCTGGTAGCTGCGCAAGAACTCGCCCTTGCGCTCCAGAGAAGCTGGCAGGTTCAAACCCGGAGCCGGTAGTGTCCCCAATTGGATCGAACCATTGTGCCACCTCCCTTGGGGGAGGACATTTCTTGCAGACAGTTGGGACTTCGAGCAGCCCCTGCGCTTTCTCACGGGAGCTCTGTTTGACCCTACTGATGTGAGGCTTCTCACATCCATAGGGACTATTGGAGTCTCGGGGTGACACTGTGGCAGTGCACAACCCGACTGCATGGCTCATGTGTCCCCCGCAGCCCGGAGAATGGAAGGTGCTGCTAGCTGCGTCTCGGAGTGGCCGAGGCAGTGGGCCGTGCCCAAGACTCCTCCCTTTGGCTGGCCGCAGGTTGGTGGCGGAAGGAGGGGACCGCTGAGGGCGCGGGGAGGGGGTGCCATGGCTGGGAACAAGGGAGTTCGGAACCCTGCTATCTGCTGCCCAACGCATCCTATTTGCTTTTCTGTGAGGGAGGGTGCTTTTCGGGTGTGCATAGTGTGGTACCACGCGGGAGTGGAGGAGGGGACACAGTCTAAGAGAGGAGAGTTTCCAGAGCGTCCCTAATTTGCCTTTAGGGGGACTGTCGGGGACACAGTCTAAGAGAGGAGAGTTTCCAGAGCGTCCCTAATTTGCCTGGATGCTGCTGCTTGTGACCGCCTGTGTGTTGGGGTGGGGTAAGAGTCAGGTGGGTAGCCGTGGCTGGCTGGGGTTTGGGGTGCCTCCTGAGAAAGCAGGAAGGCCCGAGAGGGGCTGTGGTAAGAAGATCCAGTGTCCCTCAAGAGGAGAAAGTAGCCGAACACACTGGAAAGAAATGAAACCAACTTTTACCAGGCCCGCCTGCGGCGGCGCGGCCTTAAGGACCCTGCGGGACAGGGCTGAAACTTCTCCCAACAGGAGAAACAGGTAGAGCCAAGGGATACCAGGGCGCGTGGTGGAGTAACGACTAATTTCAGACTTGAAGCCCATGGTGGTGGGAGCTACCTTGGTTTACCTGACTGTCTTTGAAGCTTTATGCTTTCTGTATTAATTACCTTAGCTTTCAATTTATACAGTTTCATTGTAAATTTATGTAAATGCCAATTGGCAGAATATCTGGAAATGGAGCATGGCTCTTCTTGCAAAATGGCTAGACAACACCTCAATAGGCTATTCTGTTCCCTGGAATGCTTTCCTCTTGGACTCTTCTCTCCCTTTATTGAATGTTGATCCTGCCCTGAAATACTGTAACGCATCTTGAAAATATTCAAACACTGCTTAGCATTTTCCCAGTATCCTCTGAGCCTTGAGCTTGACAGTGGTGAAGAGAAGGTGCCAGGAGGGTTCAGGTAGGGACATGCTCTAGACTGCTGCCTGAGCCCCTCCTTCAGGGGTGTAGTATACAGGCTTACACTAGCCTTAGGATGGCCTGGGCCCGTCCCCCTGTGTCCTGACAGTCCTCCAAAAAACCACTCTCCCCTGGGATCCTGGCCCACCAAGCACAAAGGAACCTAATCTGGTTTCTGCCCCTCAGGGACACCCATTAGCCTAGCCTCTCTGTCAGTCTTTCTGCCTCCCAGGGTCCTTTGTGAGAACTGTCAATCAAACAGGAGGCGGGGTCAAGTGTCCTCAGACCTCTAAAGTCCCACCCCTGGAAGGATTAAGAATCTGCTTCCGGGCCTTGGTGGTGCATGCTTTAATTCCAGCACTCAGGAGGCAGAAGCAGGCAGATCTCTGTGAGTTCAAGGCCAGCGTCGTCTACAGAGTGAGTTCCAACAGGCTCCAAAGCAATACAGAGAAACCCTGTCTCGAACCGGGCGTTGGTGGGTCACGCCTTTAATCCCAGCACTCCGGAGGCAGAGGCGGAGGCAGAGGCAGGTGGATCTCTGTGATTTCAAGGTCAGCCTGGTCTCCAGAGCGAGTGCTAGGACAGACTCCAAAGCTACACAGAGAAACCCTGTCTCCAAAAAACAAAAAACAAACCAAAAAACCTGTCTCAAAAAACAAAACAAACAAACAAAAAAAGAATCTGCCTCTGTCGATTCAAGTGCCACTTAAGAAAGTAAAGAAGGAAATAACGCTTTTCATTCCACTGCCCTAAATGAAAGAAACTGTATATAGGGTATATGGTAGCCTTTCTATATTCATCTTTAAATTTCATTGAAAGGTTTTGGAGTCTGGCATGGTGATATACACTCACAATTCTTTTACTCTGGAAGCTAAGGCAGGAGAGGGGATGATTTCAAGTCCCAGGATAGTGAGACTTGGAGGGGGGTAGGCATGGTGGTGAGGAGATAGCCGGTCGATAAAGTGCTTGCCTTGCAAGCACAAGGCCCCAGAGCCTACATAAGTAGCACAAGGCATGCACTGGGGAGGACAAGACAGGTAAAGTCCTGGGGCTCAGTGACCAGCCAGCCAAAGTGAGTCCTAGGCCATAGAAAGACCCCATCTCAAAATGAAATAAAATAAAATAGCTGATACTTGAGATTGTCCTCTGCCCTACACACACACACACACACACACACACACACACACACACACGCACGCACGCACGCACGCACGCACGCACGCACACACACGCGCACACACACAGAGGTTGGAAGCTTCAGTATAAGACACATACCCAGGAACCCTCACATACCCACACAAACAGCCTATGCCATGGCATTTCTGCCTACTTTGGAGGTCTCTCTGACTTCCAAACCGAATTCCAAGCAAAATTCCCAAGAATGATGGGGGTAGTTCACAAGAGGATTGTTCCACCAGCCTTGGCCTCCTTGCCCTCTGCACACACACCCTGTTGCACCCCCACTAACACATCTAGTTGCATCACAAACACTGGGATCAGTCCTTAACTGGAGTCCATGTCTACCTCCTTATTCCTATCCCTAAGTCAAAAATGTGATTCTGCTTCCTTCAAAAAGTCCTTCCATCTTCTCCCTTCCATCAAGGCTGAGGTAGAGGCCCTGGTGCTCACACCAGAATTCCTCTCTTACATGGTTGCTTGAGCTGCTCTGGGGCCTACCAAAGTAAAAGGTCCTCAGTGCCCCCAGCACAGGGCCTAGGCCAGTGATCCAAACCTTCCCCCACTGAGCACATTGGTTGTTTTTTACTTTTTTTGTTCTGCTTTTTTGAGATGGTCTTGCTGAGTAGCCCAGGCTGGTCTGGAACTTACTATGTGAAGGACCAAAAATTAGAATTAGTAAAAGTTTAAAAACTTGGGCCCTAAATCTATGTAGAGAAAGGGAACTTCTAATGGTAAAGGAAAATTTAACTTCTTAAATTAGAAGTGTCATGGCTGGCCCCTGATCCCCTCCTCTCATAGAAGGGGAGGTGACTGTCCACTACTTCTGTTAACATTCCTTTGCTAATTACTGGTCATAAAGGTCCCCTGCCCCCAGTTGTAAAGATCCTGCCCCCAGGGGATAACTGACAGACCTTGTGACCCCATAACCCTGCAAGCCCATGCCCTGTCTTATCTCACTCAAATGTATCTTGCTAAAATATATAGTTACTGCTTGACTCTTTACTTTGTATGACCTTAAGTAACCATGGAAACCCTGAGATTTGCGGCCTTCAACCTTATGGTCTGCCCCTTTAAAAGCTTCTCTTTTGGGCTGGTTGGCATCTCATTTGCCTGCCATGCAGTGAGATCCTAGCTGGCCAGCTTGAAATAAAAAGAAACCTTTTGCTTTTGCATCAGAGTGTCAACTCCTTGAGTTAGTCTCTGGGCTCCGTGAACCTGGCACAACACTATGTAGACTAGGCTGGCCCTGAACTCTGGCCTCCTACCTCAGTCTCCCTAATATTGGTATTATAGGAGGTACAGCAGCCACACCAGGTGACTCAAAGCACATCTAGGAGCCTCAGTGGCTTTCAGGAAAATGTGACAGTACCAAAACTCTTTAAATGCTGTTCCTCCAACAGGTTGGGGAGAGGCTGCTTTGTCAAGTGTTGTAATATATGAGGATTAAATGGCACTGGGCTAAGGGTGAATTCTGGTTATTGCTCCTATTGGACACCTAGAACTGCTCAATGAATGGGTGGATTTGATTGGTTTTGAAGCTGGGCTGCATCTTAGAGAAGGCTGACACTTTGGCCTTGTTTGCTTTAAGGGCCACTGGGCCTGCCCCTGGCCCTACCCTACCCACCTGCATGCTGGGCAAGGAATAGAGAGTGAGGGGTACGCACCACCCTCCCCTGGCGCCTGTGGTCATAACGTTAGTTGGAGCTGTGTGTTATTTAAGGCCTGACAGGGCGAGTCCCTGGGTGATAAAGCCTGATGCTGGCTTCACCCCAGGCCTTTCTGTATTCTTGGACTCTGCTCTGCAAGTGCTCAGGCTCCACCTCCGCGGATTAGCACACATGCCACAGCCACAGCCCCTGACAGCAGGCCAGTCTCTCGATTCTGATATCTCCCCTGTCTTGCAGGCCCACAATCGGAGCATCCCGGAGGCCATGGCCGCCCCTAAGCTTTTCCGAGCTCTCGTGTCTGCACAGTGGGTGGCGGAGGCTCTGAAGTCTCCGCGAGCCTCGCAGCCGCTGAAGTTACTGGATGCATCCTGGTACCTGCCCAAGCTGGGCCGTAATGCGCGACAGGAGTTCGAAGAGCGCCACATCCCAGGCGCCACCTTCTTTGACATTGATCATTGCAGCGACCACAGGTCGCCCTACGACCACATGCTGCCTAGCGCCGAGCACTTCGCCGACTACGCGGGAAGCCTGGGCGTGGGTGCTGCCACTCACGTCGTGGTCTACGATGGCAGCGACCAAGGCCTCTACTCTGCTCCGCGGGTCTGGTGGATGTTCCGTGCCTTCGGCCACCGCTCGGTGTCGCTGCTGGACGGCGGGGGCCTCTCCCGCCACTGGCTGAGCCAGAACCTGCCAATCAGCTCTGGCAAGAGCCACCCGAAGCCCGCAGAGTTCCACGCACAGTTAGATCCCTCCTTCATCAAGACTCACGAGGACATCCTGGAGAACCTGGAGGCCCGGCGTTTCCAGGTGGTGGACGCCCGCGCAGCTGGCCGGTTCCGGGGCACAGAGCCGGAACCCCGAGATGGTAACACTCTAGGGGAAACGGCGAGCAGGGGTTGGGGACAGGCTGATGGTCTTTCAAAGCACACAGAGCAGGGCAGAAGGGTTGGTTTCTGGGCACCTCTTCCTGAGCTTTTTGCTTCCTTCTTACAGTGGAGGCCTCAACACTGCCTCACAAATTCGGAACTAGGGCAGAGGTTGCTTCAGTACCTTGAGAATCCAAGGAGGCCCTGTATGAGCTTGACAACTCAAATAACTGCAATACGGTGCTTACGTGCATGTGCGGCCAGCGCAAAATAGCCTGAGGCAGCCCCACCTGGTTTAGGAAGGGCCCAACCTTGGTCCCTGAGTTGATGGCGTTCAAGATGTCTGCAACTGTCACCAGAGTTTCTGAGAGATTCCAAGAGGGGAAGAGGCTGTGTCGCCCAAACTGAGGGGTTGGTGCCTATGGCCTGGACTTCTCCAGGAAAAGTGATGTGTGATGTCGGAAGGGACCCCGCAAAGCAGACAGGGCTATAGCCATGCTAATGTGGGTCTTTCAACACTCGGAGGAGATAGGTACTACTTTCCATACTGTAGAGACCTCTGAGGAGATAGGTACAGCCAACTTTCCTTACCACCACGTCCCTAAGTTCAAACAACCTCAACAAACAATTTTTCTTTTGTCTGTACCAAGAATATGCATTCCTTTCCCGGTCATTATTCCTAAATGATACAGTATAACTACATAGCTTTTACAAACGCTATGGTAAAATGGATATTGAAAGTAATCTAGAGATGGGTACAGCGGCTGTTGGATGTAATCCCAGCATTTGGAGGCTGAGGTAGGTGGATCACGGGTTTAGGCCAGCCTAGGCTCCATAGTGACTTCCAGGTCAGCCTGGACTATAGAGGAAGACGCTGTCTCAAAACTTAAAAGGGAAAGAGAGGAGTGGGAGAGAGTTAAAGATGTCTTAAATGTTAGGAGGGTATGTATAGATTACATGGCAGGATACCATTTCATATGATTTGGTATTCTGGCACCAATTCTCCTGAAACCATGGAGCAAAGCAATCACTACCCTTGTGCAGGTGAGGGAAACAGCCCTGGGATGGCTGCCTTGTCCAAGGTCTCAGGAAGGAGCCACTCTGGATTCAGATTCCCTGAATACTTAACCACATCAAGCAACCAGAAATCCCCCATCATTTCTCTCCAGCCTGCTACAATGCAGGAGCCAACCATAGCCCTGGAAGCTCTCCTATGCCCTCTCTGCTGTGCTTTTACAGTATCTGGACTCACAGTGCATCCTGTACTGAGTCCATACCCCAGAGGTGCTTGGTGACTTCAGAGCCTTCTGCCACCCGGAGTCCTGCAGAACAGTACTGCTGTGTCTCCAACCCTCGGAGACTGTGGATATACCCCACCAGTTTTGAACCTACTCAGACAGCAATTTCCCGTGGGCTAGCCTAGTGAGGGTGCCACCAAACTAAGTCCCCGAGGAAGAACAGCACGAGGCATCTGCTGGTGCAGGCTTGGGTTCAGAGCTCCGTCTCTGCTTGTACTTTCTATGTAGCACCTGGCAGGTTACCTAGCCCCTCTGGATGGTGGCCCTTGAATGTGTGTGATGAGAGCAATTATTGGGAGGGGCCATAATGGGTGATGTCATGGTGTAAAAGAGCAAATATACCTAAATTGCCCAGCTCTGTTCACACATGCAGATGAACTACACTCAGTGGGGAGTGACATATCAGCTTGTGCCCCCCTGCTCAGGCTCCTTCAGGGGTGTTTAGGGTGTCCCACCATCACACTTACTCACCTGTGAATGGGAGGCAATGCTGAGAACCTAGCAGGTTAGTTAGCCTGGTCCAGGCTGCCAGGCAGGAAGGCTTTGCATTTAAAGTGTTACCATTTCTACTCTACAGCCCAGACCTGGCCCAGCACACCTGTAATTTGCTTTCTCAGTCCAGCAGGGCAGGGTGCATGTTTTTCTGGGTAGAGCTGAAGGTATGAGGAAGCCCTGACATATCTGTAGAACCCTGGCTGGATAGCTTGCTCTTCGCAGGGCTTTGGGGAAGACTGCCTGGGATAACTTTGAGCAGGCCTGCTTCACTGCGGATGACCAACCTACCGTATCTTCTCTAAGCTCAGGAGGGCTGTCTCCCACTATCCTCTGAGGAAATAGACCCATGTGGGCCAGCAGCTCACACAAAGACCTGTCCCTCCCTGGACAGGGAAACCAAGGCACAGCCTCATTTCAGAATCTAGATGGCCGGGCTATGAGGTTTCACTCTAATGGGCATCTCGGCTCCTGTGAAATGGGGCATTGGTAACTTCTGGCTGAAAGAAACAGACAAAATGTGCACTGGAGCTCTTAGGGCTTCAGAGCCCGGGTAAAGTGACACTCGTATTTAATCACACTTCTGGTTTTGCTGGGGTCCTCATCTGTCAGATTGGTTTTATTGGAGGGTGGGGGAACAGAGTCTAATGTAGCCCAGATTGACTTCAAACACACTGTGTAACTCGGAATGACCTTAAACTTCCAATCTTCCTGCCTTCACGCCCCCAAGTGCTGGGATTACCGGCATCACCCGAATTGGGTTTTGAGGTGCTGAAGGTGAAACCCAAGGCTTCATGCATGCTAGGCAAACACTCTACTAGCTGAGCCACATCCCCAGCACCAAGACAGAATTCTACGAATAAAATCTGATTTTTCCCTATGGCCAGACCGCAGCCCAAAGTCTTCTTCCAGGCATTCCTCCCTGTTGTCTGAACCTTGATGGCCATGATGTTTTGTGCCTAATTCCAGGGTTTCTGAGTTATTCCTGCCTTCCATGCTCTCAGTCCCACTGCCAGGCCCCTGACTGGTTGACTTCTACTCATCCTGGCAGAAGACTCCACCCTCCCTAGGCACTGAGGCCTGCTCCATGGCAGCACAGGCTCTGGGGTGGGTACCACTCTTGCTACCCACCATGAACTAGAACATGCTACTCTTTGTGTCTTATTCTCCTAGGGTAGGGGTGACAGTCATTTCTTTCCCATAGACTTCAGGTGGTACTAAAGGAGAAAATGTTGCTGAGGGGGTTCAGGCACAAAGCAAGTATTCAGCCACGTCAGCTGCTTTGATGACTACTGCTAATTTTATGTTACAGCCCCAGGGCGTTTTTGTCTCAGTAGCAATTATCTGGTTATTGCCTATCTGCCCTGTACACCACCTCTAAGCCTCCAGGTGCCCCAAACCATAACTGGACAGAGGTCATGTGCATTCCTCTGCTGCCCCCAAGGTTCAAGGTCAGGAAGCCCAGGATCTTCTGTAGCTCTGGTGGAGTCTAGTTCCAGGATTCAAACTCTAGCTGGCAATTATCTGAGTGTATCAACTTTGGGTGTTACTTAGCCTTAACTTGGCCATCTGTGTAGTGGGGGTAGCCCTGGTGGTTGGAGGTTAAGATCAGATATTGGAGACACATGTGGCATTCTGCAACACTAGGCGTCACTCATATTGCCCTTCCATGTGTCCCTTTGTGCAGGCATCGAACCTGGACATATCCCTGGCTCAGTAAACATCCCGTTCACTGAATTCCTGACCAAGGAGGGGCTAGAGAAGAGCCCAGAAGAGATCCGGCACCTGTTCCAGGAGAAGAATGTGGACCTGTCCAAGCCCTTAGTAGCCACATGTGGCTCCGGTGTCACAGCCTGCCATGTGGCCCTGGGGGCCTTCCTGTGTGGCAAACCCGATGTGCCTGTCTATGATGGCTCCTGGGTAGAGTGGTACATTCGTGCCAAGCCTGAGAATATCATCTCAGAGGGCAAGGGAAAGACCCAGTGAGGCCAGGCAGGACACGGTACAGCTCAGGTGACATCTGACCATCATGGTGCCAACAGCTCTGACTCTGCCAAGAGTCCTTTCTCAGACAACTCAGGTAGTGTTTAGGGTGACATCCAAGAGACCAGGAGTTCCAATGACTTATGGGAACCCAGTGAAGGTAGCAAAGCAGGTAGCAAAGAGAGTAGTACCTAAAGAGGGAGGGAGGCAGACAGCAGAACAGCCTGCATGGGGCTAAGCTGGGCCCCCCAGCTTGCTTCACTATTGGGAAATAAAACACCAAGCTCAAAACCTTTGTGGCTGTGAGAATGTCTCAGTTTCATGAGGAGCAGAAACTCCTCACGAACACCCACAAGAGGTTGTTCTGGAGGAACCTGTGTTGTCTTCACTTGATCCTGGGGACCCAGAGACCCTGTTCCCAGATACTATGACAAACTGTCATCTGCCTATAATCCTGGAGTGCCCCCCACTTCTTCATTTTCATTTTATTTGTGTGTGTATGCGTGTGAGTTTGTGTGTGTGGTTGTGCATGTGTGTTGAGATCGGAGGACAACCTCTTTTGTGGTTGTTTTTTGAGACAGGGTCTCATTGATTGAGAACTCACCAAGTAGGCTAGATTGGCTGGCCAGCAATCCCTAGGGATTCGCCCCTATCCCACAATGCTGGCCCAGTGAGTGCACACCACCATGGCAAGTACGCATTACCATGCCTGGCTTGTTTTACATGGGTCCTGAGGACTGAACACAAGTCCTGTAAACACTGCACTAGTTGAGCTGTCTCCACAGCCTGCTTCTGGATATCAGATAAAGGTAGCTGTGACTTGGGATCCCACAGGGAGCCTTGTACATGCGGGTAAACACAGGTCCTATCAGGAGAGACGAGTCCACAGCTTCAGAAACTGTTGCAACCTTGCCAGAGTGTTCTGACAAGGGTCTGAGTCTAGGGGAGAATCAGGCCTCCAACTCTGTGAGCTTTCACTCAAAACCATTCTCTGAAATCATGGTATGAGGTAAAGTTTGTAATGTAATAAAAAACGTTTTAATGAAGCTAGTGAGACAACTCAGAGGATAAAGATTTGCCACAAAACCTCATAATACCTGCATTTAATCCCTGGGACTCAGGAGGTGAAAAGAGAGAAACAGCTCCAAAAAGTGATTCTCTGACCTCCACATGGATGCTGTGCCATGTACACACACACACACACACACACACACACACACTCACACATGCTTGCAAACTGATAAATATGTAATGAACTCACATTATGGGTGGACTCAGGGCTTCGAGCCTTTCTGCTCCAGGGAACCAGCCTTACCATTGTCCCAGAGTAGGGTCTCCATGTGCTACTGTCTGAATTTATCCTCTGGCAAAGTTGACAATGGTGTCTAGAAATCTCCCCTTGGTCTGTCGGGACCTGGGTGACCCTTCCCTGACTTTTCTGCCCCCTTCTGGCAGTGCAGGGAATTGAACCCAGGGCCTCAGCCATTGTACTACCTAGCCAAGCCATCTTCTCTCTGAATGCTCTCTCCTTAGGCACTGGCTAGCACCATGACCGTTGTTACGAGGACCATGGAAGTGACATTGTTTACTCTTCTGGGAATAAACTGGAGCCAGGCAGTACCTAACCATGTGTTTCCAGCAGAACTGAGACTCAGGCCCGGCACCCTGACTCTGAGTTCTCCTTCCCTTCAATTCTCTAAGTTCACAGGACTAGGAGAAGCCAGTAGCATAGCCTTTTGCTATCACCAGCAAGAGCTCTGTAGGAAGGCCAGCCCCTGGAGCCCCTGCCCCCTATTTTATAAAATAGGAAGCCAGTTGACTTCAGAAGAGGAGAGTCAAACAGGAACCGAGGCCAGAGCCATGACAGTCTTGGTCTAAGACTTTTCAACCTGCCGTCTCAGGCTGGACAACTCTGCTGTGAGGGCATCCCGTGCCCATCGAATACTCAGTGGCATTTTAACCTCTGCCCACTGGATGCCAATTGATGCCCAGTACTCCAAGGAGAACACATTACCCCACAAGCACAGGACATTTCACAGCAGCAGTCAGGAGCATCCCCAGGCCCTCTACTGATCTGAAGCCCCCGACCTTCATACCCAGTCCTCCCCAAGCTCCCTTCCTGCCTGGCTCTGCAAACCTTGCTTTCTCAGTTCTAGGAGAGACATGAGCCCTATTCCTGTCCTCCTGACTCAGCTCCGCCAGAGGATCTTCTTGACTGACTGACTGACTGACTATGGGCAGACAGACTCTTTTGGCTTTGGCTTCTTCATCTTTTAAATTGACTCACTGCGCCATAGCAACAGGAGGGATGAATTGACATAATCCACAGAAATGATTCAGCCTGGTGCTAGACACAGCAAAGATTAAGTACTAGTGTTTTGGTTTTTATTTATTTATTTACTTGTTTTATTTTTTTCCATTTTCCCATTCTCTCTCTCTCTCTCTCTCTCTCTCTCTCTCTCTCTCTCTCTCTCCCTGTCCCTCTCCCTCTCCCTCTCCCTGTCCCTCTCTCTCTTCCTGCCCCTCTCTTTCTGTGTCCTCCTAGATGCTCTTAAGATCAAAGGACAACTTTTGGGACTTGGTTTTCTTCTATCACGTGGGTCCCTGGGATCCAACTCAGGTCACCTGACTTGCCGGCAAGCACTTTTATCCAATGAGCTACCTCGCAAGCCCAAATACTGTTAATTTTAGAGTGTTTTTAGTAGTTAGGCATTGGTAGAGAGAGAAAACGATGAATATAAGAATTCTATCCTTGCTTCAAGATCTTTCAAACTAAGAAAAGGAATGGAAGCTTTCTATAATTCCCAGAGAGTAAAGAGCACTGTGAAATGATCTGCTTTATAACAGGCTACCTTTTTGAAGGGGGCAGGGCAAGCTCAGAGAGGTGGAGTGATTTGCCTAAGCATGCAAAGCCTAATTGGAGATTTAATATGCAGAGCACCTTTGCCTGGAGTGTTTTATCCTGATTCAGAGATCGAGAGAACATGATAAAGTGCTTCCACCGTTCCAGGCAAGGTTTGAGTGACAGATTTCAGCCAGAAACCCAAACTCCAGCAAAGAAAACAAGGTGAACCCAGCAGAGCCTTTTCTGTCCTGGGGAAGTCCATGGCAATTGGAACAGATCTGAGGAAAGCTAAGCTCAGCCAGGGCTTCCAGCAATGACCCAGGGCCCCCTTTGAGCACTGCCCTGTCGCCCTAGGCTGTACACCAGAATAACTGACTGCCCACATCTGCTTGCATGTGCCCCACCCCCACCCACTCTGTCGGGGATCCAGGAAGGAACTTGCGACATCAGTATTGGCCAGAGTTTTGTCTACTTGGCAAATATTTGCTGAACACCCTCACCGGCACTGAAGCCTTTCCCTGCCCCACTAACTGGCTGCATCAGAATGTCCCAGTTCTCCAGACCACTCAGCTGAGGGTCATGGTCCAAAGCATCCATCAACCAGAGGGTTGAATCCTGGATCAATGCAGTGCCTCGGGCCTGGTCCTGTGGAATTGGCTTTGCCCAGGAGCTCTCCTCTTGGGCCTCAGCCTTTCTCCTGAAAAAATGAAAGCAGGAGTCTTTCCGGGCATGGGGGAGCCTTGGCACCCACTGGAAGTCCCTCAACCAGTGAGCACAGGGGAGGGTGGAATCACCAGGGGAAAGGATCAAGCTCTCAAGGTACCTGGAAGCTTCATTTTAAGCATAAAGATCTTCAGCCGGCAGTGGTGGCGCACACCTTTAGTCCCAGCACTTGGGAGGCAGAGGCAGGCAGACCTCTGAGTTCAGGGCCAGCCTACACAATAAGTTCCAGGACAGCCAGGGCTACACAGAAAAACCCTAACCTTCCCCACCTCCCACCCCACTCCCTAAAAAAAGGAAAGAAAAATATCCTTGACATGCATTTCCCTGACTGGGGTAAGTGCACCCCAACTCCCAAGGCTTTGTTTGGTGTTTTTGGTGCATGGTGCTACCTTCAGATGCTGATTGCTCCCAAACCAAAGAGTCCAAACTGTTAGTACCTGGAAGCACCAAGGACATAGGAACGCTGGTTGGTCCTGCTGACTGTGGCTGGATTCTCAGCCCTCACTCTTCCTCCTGCCAGCTACTTGGTGAGTCCACTCCTTCACTCAAGACAATGGCTTAGATCACTGTGGCCTCCAGCTACCCACAGCCTATGGGACCCCTCATCTGCCCCCACTTCACCTGTCATCTTGGTCTCAGTGCATGGCCACCGCTCTTGAGTCACCTGTGGCTCAGACCTGGCAATGACTTCTCTGAAATTCTCCCTTACCCATATCCCACCAGCAGGAGACTTGCAGAGTCCTGCCAATTCCCCATGCCCCAGATCCGTCCTGATCAAGCACAGTGCACATCCTCAGAAACCTCCCCGACTCCCAGGAACTGGAGACACAGCAGAGGAGGACAGCCCTAAGAAGTGTATTGCCCGCTGGGAAGGGGGAACCACACAGACACCTTAGTGATCAACCACTGAGGAGCATGGACTCAGAGAACAGAGAGGGTGCAGGGCAGCTTCAGGTGAGAGAGACATCTTCGCTCGAACAGGGCGACAGTGCCAAGCTTGAATTCCCTGGACTGTGCCCCTTACTCCAGCAGAGTATTTGGTGAGGGAGATCACAGTACACTCTCCATAGACCCACCTCCTCTTTTCCAAGTCCGTGAGTGACTTATTTCTCTCTACTAGTAAAATAACCAGTCTCTAAAATATTAATTCCTAGTAGAGCATGGAGATACATGCTGGAGTTTCTGACGACTGAGGCAGGAGGATAGTGAGTCTCAGGCCAGCCCAGGACAAACCACTACAAGACAGAAGAAGGCTATTCTGTTTTCTTTTCAGGTAAGGACTATATTCTTGAAATACCACAGAGAACTGAGAATGACAGTTACCTCTGAACAATAACTCTGCACTGTATAAAATTAACACATGCAAATTGATAATCTAACAATAGAGAATATAAGGGAGAGAAAGCCTTAATTTCAACAGAATAACCTTAGTAGTTTTATTAATGAGTGTGGTAGGCATGGTGGGTGTGGTGGACTTGGTGGCAAACTCTGTAGCCCCAGTGCTTAGGAGGCTGAGGCATGAAGACTGGGGATTTGAAGTCAGCCTGGGATACTATTAGCAAGCCGTTGTTTTACTTATTTTTTTAAAGATGCCTTATTTATTGTTCCCCCCCACCGTTTCTTTTTTTTTGTGTGTGTGTGTGTGTGTGTGTGTGTGTGTGTGTGTGTGTGTGGTGTGTGCTTGCACATGCCACATATATGCAGATGCCCTCAGAGGCCACAAGAGA